CAGGTGGTTCTCCTGCCTCAGCCTCCTGAGTAGCTGGGATTACAGGCAACTGCCACTGTGCCTGGTTAATTTTTGTATTTTTAGTGGAGCCAGGATGATTTCACCATGTTGGCCAGGCTGATCTCAAACTCCTGACCTCAGGTGATCTGCCTGCCTCAGCCTCCCAAAGTGCTACATTTTTTTCATTCTTTTTTTTTTTCTTTTTTTCTTTTTTGAGACGTAGTCTCACTCTGTTGCCCAGGCTGAAGTGCACTGACGCAATCTCAGCTCACTGCAATTTCTGCCTCTCGGGTTCAAGCGATTCTCCTGCCTCAGCCTCTGGAGTAGCTAGGATTACAGGCATGTGCCACCATGCCTGGCTAATTTTTGTATTTATAGTAGTGACAGGGTTTCACCATGTTGGCCAGGCTGGTCTCAAACTTCGGCCCTCACATGATCCATCTGCCTCAGCCTCCCAGAGTGCTGGGATTACAGGTGTGAGCCACCATGCTCGGCCTACATTTTTTCTTTTCTTTTTTTTGAGATGGAGTCTTGCTCTGTCACTCAGGCTGGAATGCAATGGGGTGATCATAGTTCACTGCAGCTTTGAACTCCTGGGCTCAAGCGATCCTCCCCGCTCAGCTTCCTGAGTAGCTAAGACTATAGGCACAAGCTGCCATGCCCAGCTAATTTTTACTTTACTCTTTTTTTTTTTTTTTTGAGACAGAGTCTCGCTCTTGTTACTCAGGCTGAAGTACAGTGGCACCATCTTGGCTCACTGCAACCTCCGAGTCCCTGGTTCAAGCGGTTCTCCTGCCTCAGCCTCCAGAGTAGCTGGGATTATAGGCGTGTACCACCACACCCAGCTAATTTTTGTATTTTTAGTAGAGACAGGATTTCACCATGTTGGCCAGGATGGTTTCGAACTCCTGACCTCAGGTCATCCCACTGCCTTGGCCTCCCAAAGTGCTAGGATTACAGGCATGAGCCAAAGTGTCCGGCCTTTACTTTTATTTTTTTAGTAGAGACAGGGTTTCTATTATATTTCCCAGCTTGAATGTCTTTATTTTTATTTTACTTTAATTTTTTTTTTTTTTAGACAGGGTCTCATTCTTTTGCCCAGGCTAGAATGCATAGTGCAATCTTGGCTCACTGCTGCCTTGACCTCCCAGGCTCAATCAATCCTCTTGCCTCAGCCTCCCATTTTGCTGGTCCCACAGGCCTGTGCCACCATACTTGGCTAATTTTTAAATTTTTTTTGGTGGAGACAGGGTCTTACTTTGTTCTCCAGGCTGGTCTTGAACTCCTGGGCTCAAGTGGTTCTCCTGCCTTGGTCTCCTAAAAAGTACTAGGATTATAGGCATGAGCCACTGCACCTGGACAAGTATCTTTATAAATACTGCTTAAATGTCTTTGTCTACTACATCTAATATCTGAGCAGTCTCAGGGTCAATTTCTATTGACTACTTTTGTTTTTCTTTATTTTCCTTCTTCCTACTTTTTTTCATGTCTAGTAATTTTTTATGGTAATACTGGACAATACGATAATACATTGTAGAAATTCTGGATTCTGGATTGTTTATTTTTGTTCCAGTAGGCAGGTCAGTTATTCCCTGGTCATTTTGAATTTGTGTACAAGTTTTTTCTTTGTTTGTTTTGCTTTGTTAGGGAAGATCTTTGGGAAATTCAAGATATTTTTCCAACCTTCAAGCTCTGTTTTCCCTGTGAATTTCGACAAGGCTTAGGTTTAGGCTTTGTTAGGGCATGTCTAGTGAGGGCCTTCCTCTAGGACAGTGGCTCTCAAACTTAGTTTGTATCTGAGTCATCTGAAGAGCTATTGTTAGAACATATATTCTGGGCTTCTCCTGAGTTTCTGATTCAGCAGGTCCGAAGTGGGGCCCTTGAATTTGCATTTCCAATAGTACATCTAACAAATTTCCTGGTTATGTTCATGCTACTGGTCCGGGGACAACAATTTAAGAAATATCTCTCTAGACCATGGTCCTAACTTTATTTTTTATTTTAAGACAGGGCCTGGAGTGTAGTAATGTGATCAGGGCTCACTGCAGCCTCAATTTCCCAGGCTCAAGTAATCCTCCTGCCTCAGCCTCCTGAGTAGCTGGGACTACAGGCACATGCCAGCACACCTGGCTATTTGTATTTTTTGTAGAGATGGGGTTTCGCCATGTTGCTCAGGCTGGTCTCAAACTCCAGAGCTGAAGCTCAAGCTCAAGCTTGAGCCTACCTCAGCCTCCTGAAGTGCTGGGGTTACAGGCATGAGCCACCCACCCAGCCATGGTCCTTACTTTTTTTTTTTTTAAGACGGAATCTCACTCTGTTACCCAGGCTGGAGTGCGATGGCGTGGTCTCAGCTCACCACAACCTCCGCCTCCCAGGTTCAAGTGATTCTCCTGCCTCAGCCTCCCGAGTAGCTGGAACTACAGACTTGCGCCACCACACCTGGCTAATTTTTGTATTTTTAGTAGAGACGGGGGTTTCACTGGCCTGTTCACCAGGCTGGTCTCGAACTCCTGACCTTGTGACCCACCCGCCTTGGCCTCCCAAAGTGCTGGGATTACAGGCATGAGTCACTGTACCAGGCCCCGGTCCTTACTTTTAAGATGTGAACTCTTCAATGTCCCAGATGGATGCCTGGATTGTCACTAACAAAGTGCTAAAGTGCTTTTCCACTCAGACTGAGCCATAACTCTAATGCCCGCCCCCTCCATTGCTGCTTGAACTCGCTCTCTGCTCAGCTTCTTTCACCGCATGGAAGCTGGTATCTGGTCATCCTTGGGTAGTCTCACCTTACACATGTGCAGCACAGTTCTCAGCCAAGTACTCAGAGGACACCCCTACCAGGACTTTTCGGAATCCTTCCTCTGCAAAGCCCCTCTCTGCAGTGCTCTACTCAGTAGATTCCAGCCGCTCAGCTGCCCCAAACTCTGAACTCTGCCTCCTCAGCTCAGTAACTGCTCCTTTTCCTGCTTGGATGCCAGGAAACTGCCCACAGGTAAAGAGCCAGAATGATTCTGGGGCTTACAAAAGATGAGTTTCTCTTCCCTCAGGGGCCAGAGATTTGTACTCTCTCCTGGCCAATTCCTGAAACTGTTGACTAATGTTTGGTGTGTGTGTGTGTTTTGGATGGGGTCTCTCGCTCTGTCACCCAGGCTGAAGTGCAATGGCACAATCATGACTCACTGCAGCCTTGAACTCCTGGACTCAAGCAATCCTCCCACCTCAGCTCCTGAGTAGCTGAGACTACAGGATGTGCAACTGTGCCTGTCTAATTAAAAATAACTTTTTTAGAGACAGGGTCTCTCTATGTTGACCATGCTAGTCTTAAACTCCTGGGCTCAAGCAATCTGCCCACCTCAGCCTCCCAAAGTATTGGGATTACAGGGGTGTGTGTGTGTGTGTGTGTGTATGTGTGTGTGTGTGTTTAATGGTGGGGATGGGTAATCTACTACCAATTACTATTCCATAGTAGCCAAGAGTGAAAGTTCTGGCTTTAGACCTTTTGAATTTTAGGAACCTTGGACCATCCAGATAAAGGCGTCTACAAAGGAAAAAGCCTAGAGATAAAGTTTTGGAAGACATCAGGGCACAAAGGTTTGGAAGACCAAGGGCAGAAATCACATAGGAAAGTTATACAAAATGAGAAGACAGAGGATCAAAGACAGAATCTTGGGGGAACCACCAGTTTTTCATGGATGAGTGAAAGAAGGTTGGCAAAAGAAACAGAAGGACTAGTCCAACAGTCAAGAGAAGAACCAAATGTTCCAGACATCAATGGACAAGAGATTTTAAAAATTTTTTTGAATTTTTACTGTTTTCCTCCCTGTGCTAAGAGGGTTACCAAAAAAATAGCCTTAAAATCTTTTCAAGCAACCTTATGACAATGTAGTATCATCAATCCCATTTTATAGATGGAATAAAGATGATGAAACTCAGAGATTAAGTAACTTGCTCAAGGTCAATGGAGCTGGAAAAGGCAGAGCTAGGACTTGGATCCAAGCATTCTGGCTCCAATACATCACAATGTACTGCTTCCCTCCAAAATAAGACAGGATGGTAAATGCTGCAGGGCTGTCCATGAAGCTGAGGATTGAAAAGTGCTTATTGCCAGGTGCCGTGGCTCGCTCCTGTAATCCCAGCATTTTGGGAGGCCGAGGCAGGCGGATATCCTGAGGTTAGGAGTTCGAGACCAGCCTGCCACCATGGATAAACCCTGTCTCTATTAAAAATACAAAAAATTAGCTGGGCACAGTGGCGCGTGCCTGTAATCCCAGCTACTCAGGAGGCTGAGTCAGGAGAATTGCCTGAACCCAGGAGGCGGAGGTTGTAGTGAGCCGAGATCGCATCATTGCACTCCAGCCTGGGTAACAAGAGTGAAACTCCGTCTCGAAAAAAAAAAAAAAAAAAATTAGCTGCACATGATGGTTTTTATGCCTGTAATCCCCGCTACTCAAGAGGCTGAGACAGGAGAATCACTTGAACCTAGGAGGTAGAGGTTGCTGTGAGCTAAGATTGTGCCATTGCACTCCAGCCTGGGCAACAAGAGCAAAAGCCCGTCTCAAAGAATAAAAGAAAAGAAAGAAAAGTGCTTATTGGGGCCAGGTACACCGGTAATCTTAGCACTTTGGGAAGCTGATGAGGGGCTGGATCACCTGAGGTCAGGAGTTCCGGACCAGCCTGGCCAACATGGCAAAACCCTGTTTCTACTAAAAATACAAAAATTAGCCAGGCATGGTGGTTCACGCCTATAGTCCCAGCTACTTGGGAGGCTGAGGCAGGAGAATTGCTTGAACGTGGGAGGCAGAGGTTGCAGTGAGCAGAGATAGCACCACTTCACTCCACCCTGGGTGACAGAGTGAGACTCCATCTCAAAAAAAATAAAAGAAAAAAGACAAGTGTCCATTGACTTAGGCAATAAGGCCACTGCTGAGCTCAGAAGGAACCCATGGTAATAAACAACAGGTGCTAATTGATTGTTCAACAAGACTGGTTCTCAGGCTTACCTGGTCTTTTGGGCCAGCAGGGTCCCATACACATGGCACCTCTCAGCTCTGGCTTGCATTGCCCTCCTTGGAATCCTCTTCCAGGTTTATGCTCTGAAAAAGAGCAGGCACATTCCCTAATGCCTTCAGGGAAAACAAGACCCAGAGCTCTAGCTTCCTGAAGTGTATAAGAGAAGTGTGATGTGCCTATTTTAACCCAGCAACTATACCCAGGCGTAGACTTAGATGCATTTGAACATATCATCAACACAATTACCTGTGCCCAGATTAGCCTCAGCAAACCTTTAAGCTCTCACAGCTGTGTTCAGGTGTTCAGAGGATTATTATGGAGAGATGTTGATCAGCTGTTCTCCACGTCGCCTGTGGACAGAACAAAAGGAAAGAAGCTTAAATGTCAGCAAAGGATTTACTTGTGAGACCTCTGTGAGGCAGGGAGGTCCTGTGTATCCAAGCGTTTCCAACCTTTCTGTCTTATTTAGCTCTAAAAATTCCCTTCTCCACCTTACTGCTTCTTATGTTTATTATAACGATAATAACAATAATGGCACATGTTTATATAGTTCTTACTTTGTGCCTAGCACTGTTATTAAGCTTTTTATTCATATTCATTCAATACTCACAGCAACACAATGACATAAAGACTATTGTCATCCCCATTTTATAGGTAAGAAAACTGAAACAGAGAGAGTGAATAACTGGCTAAAGGTCTCACAGTCAACAAATGGCAGAGCCAAGATTTGAAACCTTGGGCCAAAGTCTATCGTCTTAACCATGACCCTATGTGCTAATCTGGAGACATTACACCATAACAGAATTCAAGATAAGGCAGAGCATGGAGAAATGCTAATAAATTGGCATGGAGGCTGTAGTAGATTGATACAAAATGGCCCTAAAGGAACCATGCTCCTCCGAATTCACCCTGTGTGTCCTCCCCTCCCACGCTGGATCTATACCAGCAAAATGACTTGCCTGAACCACTGAGATGTGATGGAAGCAACTTTCTGGGACTTCAAGCCCAGATTTTTTGTGTGTGTGTGACGAAGCTTTGTTCTTGTTGTCCAGGCTGGAGTACACCGGCGAGATCTCGGCTCACTGCAACATCTACCTCCCAAGTTCAAGTGATTCTCTTGCTTCAGCCTCCCGAGTAGCTGCGATTACAGGCATGCGCCACCACGCCCAGCTAATTTTGCATTTTTAGTAGAGACGGGGCTTCTCCATGTTGGTCAGGCTGGTCTCAAACTCCCAAACTCAGGTGATCCACCCACCTCAGCCTCCCAAAGTGTTGGGATTACAGGCATGAGCCCCTGTGCCTGACCCAAGCCCAGATCTTAAGAGATCCAGAGCTTCTGCTTTCTCTCTGAGAACCCAACTGCCTTATAAAGAAGTCCAGGCTGTCCAGCTGTAGAGAGAGGCAACATGGAGAAAGAAGCCTTGGAAGTTGAGAGTCCACGTGAAGGAAAAGAGAGGCATCCCAGCTGAGAGCCAGCATCAGCATGGTAAAAAAAGGCCATCCTGGATGCTTTGGTCCCAGTTGAACTGTCCCAGCAGACACCACATAGGGCAGAGATGAGCTGGCCAAAATTCTAACTCTAAAAGCATCACACGGTTTTAGGTTACCAAGTGTTTCTTTCCTTTTTTTTTTTTTTTTCCTTGAGACAGAATCTCGTTCCGTTCTGTCACCCAGGCTAGAGTGTAGTGGCACAAGCTTGGCTCGCTGCAACCTCGGCCTCCTGGGTTCAAGCAATTCTCCTGCCTCAGTCTCCCTAGTAGCTGGGATCACAGGTGCCTGCCACTATGCCTGGCTAATTTTTATATTTTTAGGAGAGACAGGGTTTCACCATGTTGGCCAGGCTGGTCTTAAACCCCTGAGCTCAGGTGATCCACCCACCTTGGCCTCCCAAAATGTTGGGATTACAGGCGTAAGCCCACCAAGCCTGGCCCATGTTTCTTTTTTATTGTGGTGAAATGTACACAACATAAAATGGACCATTTTAACCCTTTTTAAGTGTGGCATTAGTTACATTCACATTGTGCAACCATCACCACCGTCTAGCTCCAGAACTTTTTCATCTTCCTACACTGACACTCTGTACCCACTAACCAATAGTTGCCCCTTTCCCTCCTCCTCCCAGCCCCTGGTAACCACTGTCCTACTTTCTGTCTCTATAAATTTCAGTCAATAAGTTTTAAGGTGGCTTGTTAGGTAGCAACATATAAGTTTACATAGATTTTAATAGGTTTATTTAACACTCAGCTTTTAGAATGTATTAATGTTTTTGTTAGTTTATTAAATATTGGGGAGTTGAAGCATCAGAAACCAATGAGGTGTTCAGAGCAGGTCCCTTTATCCTCTGTACATTTAATTCTAACGTGTCATGGCCTACAGTGTATAGGTAAGATTATAATTATACCTAACATTGACTTTAATATTGAGAAGGCAGTTTCACATTTAATATATCACTTATCTTTCACAACAGCCGTGAGAGGTAGAACTATTTTTTTCATTTTATAGATCAAGGAACTGAGGATCAAAGAATTTAAGCAACTAGCCCAAGGTCACAGAGTGGAACAGGTTGGTCTGCAACTATTTACTGATTACTCCTTCTTGGGAAGGGCAATGGAAAGGGAACCCAAAAGACGAGTCAGTAGCTTAAAAGAGGCAATACAAGCTCTATCCTTCTTTTTTTTTTTTTTAATTTCTTTTTTTTTTTGAGACAGAGTTTCGCTCTTGTTACCCAGGCTGGAGTGCAATGGCGTGATCTCGGCTCACCGCAACCTCTGCCTCCTGGGTTCAGGCAATTCTCCTGCCTCAGCCTCCCGAGTAGCTGGGATTACAGGCACGCGCCACCATGCCTAGCTAATTTTTTGTATTTTTAGTAGAGACAGGGTTTCACCATGTTGACCAGGATGGTCTCGATCTCTTGACCTCATGATCCACCCGCCTCGGCCTCCCAAAGTGCTGGGATTACAGGCGTGAGCCACCGCACCTGGCCTGAGACAGGCTGTCTTTATATTGCCCTGGCTGGTCTTAAACTCCTGGCCTCAAGCAATCCTCCCACATCAGCCTCCCAAAGTGATGGGATTAGGGGCACGAGCCACCGGTGAAATTGCTTTCATCAAACAGAAAACATCCCTGTCTATTGAAATTTCAAACCAAGTAACACTCTTCAGGTCCGATTTAAGCAAATTCATTTTCAGTAGGGAACTTCACAACTTTGTTTCATTTAGGGAGAGTATGAAGGGATTGCTTGACTTGCTCCATTTGTATTTTCTTATAGGATAGAGAAATATATGTGATTCCAGGGCTAATTTCTTTTCATGGTAGTTTGTGTGTGTGTATGTTTTTTTAGATGGAGTCTTGCTCTGTTGCCCAGGCTGGAGTGCAGTGGCACAATGTCAGCTTAATGCAACCTCTGCCTCCCAGGTTCAAGCGATTCTCCTGCCTCAACCTCCTGAGGAGCTGGGATTACAGGTGCCAGCCACCACACCTAGCTTTTTTTTTTTTTTTTTTTTTTTTTGAGACCAAATTTTACTCTCTGTTTTCTAGGCTAGAGTGCAGTGGTGTGATCTTGGCTCACTGCAACCTCTGCCTCCTGGGTTCAAGCAATTCTTGTGCCTCAGCCTCCCAGAACAGCCGGGACTACAGGCATGAGGCACTATGTCTGGCTGATTTTTGCATTTTTAGTAGAGATGGAGTTTCACCATGTTGGCCAGGCTGGTCTCAAACTCCTGACCTCAGGTGATCCATCCTCCTCAGCCTCCCAAAGTGCTGGGATTTCAGGAGTGAGCCACCCACCTGGCCTTTTGTTTTGTTTTGTTTTGTTTTAAAGAACTTCTTCAATCAAGAGGCCATTTATAGATTTGAATATTACTCAGCTGTCTGATAAAAAGCAGAGAAAGGAACAAATTAAAGGCGAAAGTAAGGGCAGATTTATTAAAGGGCAGTGAATTATATTATTAAAACCAGTGACTCCTCCCTCCTTCCTCCCAAACTAACCCCAAACTCAGTTTATCTAAGTAAACCGAAGGAAATTTCATCTTACCCTCTGCTATAGATTCAGTACATTCTGGCTGATGTTTTAAACCCTGTTAGAAATCTGGTTGGCATCCAAGCACATGCAATTGTAGAATGGAGCAATATCATGTAGATAACTATCTATTTTTCTTTCTCTCTGAAACACTGACAATGATTCTTTGTAAAATGTCTCAGGACATTGAAGGAAGCTATCGATAAACATTTTGCAGCAATCTGTCAAGAGCTGATTCTTGCAATTTATATAATGTGGGTATTTTATTTCACAGGTTTCATGTATTGCATGGTTAAACAGGCATGAAAGGGAATGGGGTCTCTAGGCTGCAAACAGGAGTCAAGGTGCAGGCTTAAAGAGTGATGTTTTCAGCTCCTGAGAGGACAGAAGGATGACCTCAAGTGACACAGGCAGAACTACCAGATACACACTGATCCCCTCCTAATGTGAGCAAACATTAACTGGCAAAACAGGAGAAATCCATACCTCCCTTCATTTTTCAGAAATCCTCGCAGCCATGCCGGTTTTGATGGGGAATACCATGTTGGGGTTCCATGCTTTGGGGGTAGGGATAACATGGACATCTGAAATTCACAAATAAACTCAATCTCTTATTTTAGCAATTGTCTTTCTTTCTTTTTCTTTCTTTCCTTCTTTCTTCTTCCTTTCCTTCTCTTTTCTTTCTTTCTTTTTTTTAAGACAGAGTTTCACGCTTGTCACCCAGGCTGGAGTGCCATGGTGCAATCTCGGCTCACCACAACCTCTGCCTCCTGGGTTCAAGTGATTTTCCTGCCTCAGCCTCCCAAGTAGCTGGGATCAGAAGCATGCACCACCACACCTGGCTAATTTTGTATTTTTAGTAGAGACAGGGTTTCTCCATGTTGGTCAGGCTGGTCTTGAACTCCCGATCTCAGGTGATCTGCTCCTCTGAGCCTCCCAAAGTGCTGGGATTACAGATGTAAGCCACTTCGGCCACAATTTATTTTCAACTAAATTAGTTTCACCAAATCTGCTAACCAAAGGATTCTGTAACCAAGGCCTATGCTGTAGGCAGGATTCCACCCTCTTCTCCATTCACATCCTGCAGAAGGAACTACTGAGGCACAAAGTACATGAATAAAGATGCCAAGGGCATGGCTCAGTTCCAAGCTGGTTGGAAACCCTTTGGAAACTGAACGCTGGAGTGCAGTAAGAAGACTTCATTACAGTGTCACACAGCACAACAGGTTTACCTGACTAATTCTCAGAATCAACCACCCAAGGCAATTTGAGATTTTTTTCTTTGCTAAGCGTCAAATCTTTTTATTGTAGGGGAAGAGACATGTAGATAATTC